AAAAAAAAGAAAGAAAGAAATATAAGGAAGAAAACAAAAGTAGTTTTACATTCACTTTTTAGATACATTTATAAAAAATAAAATAATAAGTGTATGAAGTCTGAAAATCTAAATAGTTAAGAATGAAAAATCGAAACTCACTCTCCCTACCAACCAGGTCACTCTATGCTATTCATGAGAAGTAACTGCTAAGAATATTTTATATTATTTCCAGAAGTAAAATATTTATCAAATGTAAATCTTTTGTTTGCTTTTTTTGTTTTGAGATAGCATCTTGCTATGTACCCCAGGCTAGTCTTGAACTCACTATGTGGTCCAACGTGGCCTCTAGCTCATGATACTTGTCCCTTAGCTTCCTGAGTGCTAGGATTATAGCTGTGCACAACCATAACCAGTTTTACACAGCACACACATAAACACACACGTGTGCATCTGTATATATTTATATATACAGATATAAATATATACAGATACACACTGTTCAGCACCTTGCATTTTATGGAATGATGTATCTTGATATTTGTGCTTTCATGAACACACCCAAGAACATTTCACAACTTTGAATGTCATCCTTACACAGAGGCTCTGCTAATCTCTCTATTACTCCAATTTTGGTGAATAAAGCAATAACTACTAGATGATTTTAGCAAGGAGGATTTGCAATCACATTTGCATTTTGGGAAAATAGCTTTGGTTGTTTTTCAAAGGATAGATTGTCAGGGCAAGAGTAGAGGCACAAACAGCCAAAAGGAGGCTATTACTGTGGAACAATTAAGACATGATGGTGATGACTCAGACTAAGGTTTTGGCAGCAGAGATGAAAAACAAGTGGATTCAAGATATTTAACATATAAAAATGATAGAACTTGCTAATGTAATATGGGTAGACAGTGAAAAAGAAAACAGCAATCTCAGATATTATTCAGGTTTCTGCCTTGATAAATGGGAATAAGAGTAGTAATGATGTTATTCGGTTATTCATGAAGTTTATTCTGATATCTATCATTGAAAGTTACATCCTGTTCCTTTAAAATAGTATAGCACATACTATAAACCCTTCTTCTCCCACTTACCATGTCCACTTATACTAACGAAACACTTTGTGCAGTGTTTTTATCTTTCCTACATACTGTGAACTAGTTTGTATGTGATGGTGGGGGAATAGGCAGGTGTGAGGAAAGTGAAGAAAGAAAAGCAAAAAATAAAGAGTAACATTTGCTAATCACTTACTATGTGACATGTACTAGAGTAGTCCCCTTAATGGGTATTCTTCCATTTACTTCTTACAGCCTGATTTTACAGATGACAAAACCCAGAGAACACAGTGACTTTCCCAATATCACACATGTTTAGAAGAGGCAGAACCCAGATTCAAATCAAACTTATCTTTTCCCAGAGCCAGCCATCAGGAAGCCAAATGAAAAAGAAAAATAGTGTTAGAAGCAGAAGGTGATGCCATTTATAGTGCTGTTAGATAGGCAGGCATTTAAAAAGATTAAACAAGGTACCTAAACAGGGAAGGAAGGTTCACCCAGGCTGACCTGAAGTCCTAGGGCAAAGGGAGTGGGCAAGTAAGTGATCAGAGGATTTTCAGGGAAACTCCATATAAATGAGTTTCCAGGAGGCTACAGGAAATATATTTGTGGCCTATGTCCAAAGAGTGAGCACCTGAAAAGCAGAAAAGCCAGGAACTTGAAGTGCTGTCCAATCTGCATGTACAAGTGAGCCAGCGTGAACCTCCTAGCCAAAGTCCCTTAGAGTGGTGATCCTAAAGCATCATCCTCAGATGAGCAGCAATATCATTATCAATGAACTTGTTACAAATGAGAATAATTGGACTACCCCCAAAATTTACTGAAGTAGAAACTCAGTATCTTAGCAAACCCTCAAAGTATTTTGGTGCATGCGCAAGTTCAAAACCTCCTGCATTGAAGTACTGGAGAAAGCAGCAAATGACATTCAGAGACCAAAAATTGTCCCCAGAGGAAACCTAAGATAGTCACACATCACAGTCATGAAGAGCAACCTTCTTAAAGCATGATGGAGTCTGCAGATACCAGGTGGTGGTAGAGAATGAAATGAGAGGGCTGCAGTTTCACGGGCATGGTTTCTGGAGGAGTCTCCACGCTGGCACTGGTGCTACAAAAGGTACTAGTGCAAACAACTCTGTACCTCAGCCACTATCAGTGCATACAGCTTACCATCACCACTCTGTCCCAATCCAAGAGCTGTCTGAGGCTATTGCCACCTGGCTTTTGTGCTTCCCTGTTTAAATACAGATAAGTGAAAGACCTATGCCCGATGCCTAAGCAGAGCAGTATTTAATAACATTTAAAACCTAGCCAGAGTAACTGTGAGTGTAAAAAAGCAGAGCCCTCCCTGTTCTTAGTCCTATTTCCATGGAAACAACTACAAGAGATGCTCTTCCCATACGGTTTCACTCTGGCTTAGAATAAATACAAGTTGGACCATCAAGAGATTTAACTAAGTGGGAAATTTCTTTACTTGGGAAAGTTCTGCAATTACTTCATTAAAATTAAAGGACTAGGCAAGGCCAACAGATGGCTCAGCCCCCTTGCCCCTAAATAATTAGTGGGTCTCAATATGGATAATAGTTTTTCTTCTGTGATTAAATCATGCTGGCATCACTCTGACAGAGACATCTATCGATGCTGTGTAAAGTCTCAAAAGGGGAACCTTGTGGACTCTGTCTTCCCCTTCTGCATAGAATGTAACCTTGAGGAGATCAGACCTAGCTGTCTCTATAGGCCCCAAACCAAGGCAATGATGCAATGGGAACCTTTTGGACCTTGTCACTACACAGATTTCACTGATTTTGCCATTAGGCCATATACTTGATGAATAGGACAGGTTTGATTGGCACAATTTAAAACAAAAGCAGCTTATCCACTATTGCAATAAGGTCTAGATCTGATACAAACTGGGAAGTAGGAAAAGATAGGTGCTCCAACATAGTTGGGGAGCACACAGTCCATAATAGGTAGGATCTACAGACTCTTTCAACTTGAATAAGTTATAGAAGACAGAGACCATCACTCAGCATCTGTTTTAGTTGCTTTTCTCATTGCTCAGACAAACTTCTTTCCACCCAAAGACATAAGGGGAAGGTTTATTTAGCTCACTGTTTATAGAAATTTCAGTCCATAATTGGCTGGCTCCAAGAAAGGGTGGCGTGGTAGACAGGCCTTGCAGAGGAGAAACAGTTCATAGTGGCCAGAAGAGACCAAAGGCAACAAGGGGGAAGACAAGCCTCTTTCTGCCCCTTGTATTGTATCCAGGCTACCAGGATAGGGCAGTGCCAAATCAATCAGTGTACTGAGTTAATAATCACATGCCCTCAATTGCAGCATCACACACTCTAGATTCAGCAACCTCTGAACACATGAGGCTTTGGGGGGACATCTAATCCCAAACCAAGCAGCACCCCATAAACAATTATGGAACTTATATCTCTCAGGAGGATATAAGATAGGAGATAGGTATGGCAAAGGTGGTGGAGAAAATAAATAGGACTAGTCAATTACAAGACTTCAGGACTGTGCCAGATAATTCCCAGGATCCTGTATATGGAGGTTCTTGCAGGCTCCCATGAAATATAGGTAGCATAAAAGAGACTGGACCCCCTATTGTGGCTCTTTGTGGTAGCCTGCTCTGTATCCCAGACCAGGATGTACTTTTATTTTTGTTATTTTTCTCTCTTTTTCTGCCCAAGTTTGCTCTGCAGAGCCAGTTTCTCCCTTAATCCTTCACCCCTCACTTTTCAAATAAACTTTTGGCACCGTTTCTGGATTGTCTCATCCAATTCTTTGTTTGAGACAAGTAGGGAACAGAATATGTTTAATTGGAAAGCCATTTCTAAAGGGACTACCAATAACAAATGGGCTTAATAAATATCTACAGAGTGTCTCACCCAACAATAACCGAGTACACATTTCTTTTCAGCAGCATATACTAGTCAAAGTAGATCACATACTAGTCAATAAAGCAAGTTTAAGAAAATGTAAAAGAATTGAAATCATCTCATGCATATTGTCAGGTCATAGTACAGTGAAGTTAGAAATCAACAACAAAAGAAAACACAAAATTATGCAAATGCATGAAAACTAAACAATATACTCATAACTAAACAATGAGTTACAGAAGAAATTAAGAAAGAAATGACAGTTTCCAGAACTAAATGACAATACCAGTACAATATACCAGAACTTAAGGGACTAATACAAGTCTTGCAAAGAGGGAAGTTTACATCTGTGGATCTTTTCAGCTTTGTAACCCTTGGATGAGTCATACAAATATAAACTGGAAATATTGTTTGAGTAGATGAACAAATGAAGGGATAGATTCATGACAGACCTTAAGATTTGAAGCCCCATTAAAGTCATTCTAGTCTTTCTCTTGTTATACCTGCTTTCAGTACAGTTTCCTTGTTGGTGCACCAAGGTTGAGCACATTGCTTGGGAGGGCCAGCATCTCAGCTGGGTAGGTCCCTGATTCCTCTCAGTTATGCCCATTGCCTCCTTCCCAGAGTTGTGTAGAACAGCTAGCTCTACTTTTGTATTCCATAGATAGTATTTACTAAGATTCTGTTTGGGAAAAGGCTTCTTCTGACAAAATTAATTTTGAAAATAAAAAATCTAGGCCATCTTCTCCATGTTCCAGGTAGAAAAACTGAATCCCAGTGAGGCAAAATGACTTCTTCAGGTTTACCACGGACTCTTTAGTAGTGTAACTAGAATACAAAGTCAGGATTTTGAAGGATTTCTGTCATGAATTGACATTACTTGTATTATTGAGGAAATAGTAATTTAGACCTATTGCCTTATTAAAAACTAAAATAATAACCTTTATTTCCCCCTTTAGTCTATACTAAACACTGTGCCAGTTTGTATTTATAATCTTATTTAATTTTTTTAGCAGTTCTATGGAATAGGTAGTATTACTATCCCCATTTTACAGAAGTGAAAACCAAGATTTAAAAAGATTCAATTACTTTTTCAAGGTTACAGACTCAATAAATTTTAAAGTTGGGAATTTCAATCCAGGATAACTTATTGCTATTTTCATGCCTTTAACAATGATGCCGTATTTCCAATATCTATATTGCAAAGAAGTCTATAGCAAGAGTTGTTAAACTATATAGCTCCTGGGTCAAATCTTGCCTAATGCTTGTTTTTATAAATAAATTTCTATTGGAATCTAGATGTGCCTCATGAGCTACAATTGTAGATTTCAATAGTTATGATATACAGAAACTGTATGTTCTACAAATAAAATATTTACAAAGAGATCCTTTACAGAAAGTGCTTGCCAATTCCTATTCTATGGGTATCTATATTTTCAAGTGACCCCTGAGAGAAAGCACCAGAAGTATGCTGAGGATTTGCAGAAGAAGTGGGCACAGTGTATCTTCTAGTGAAAACTGTGAATAAATAATACAAGGCTGGAAATCTGGCCTAGCTGGACTCCTGCAGTCTTCACAGTGTTGACTCAAGAGTTTCCATAATGAGCTGTTCCTTGTTGTCTTTCATGAGTCATAGCAGAAGCCTTATCCCTTCCCCTCCCCATCATAAATGCCTTAAAGCCTGGACTTGGATCTCAAGTTAATGGGTTTGGTCCCCACCTTCCCCCTGTAGCTTCAAGGTCCACATCTGTACCAGGCAGATAATCCTAGGTGCTGCTGTGGCCTGCAGCTTCCTTTGACCACTGAGCAGTTTTGAGAGAGCTGAGGCTCGTAGCTCCTCCCTTCCTTTACTGGTACTTCCACTTTGCTCAGCCTGGGCTGCGGTCAGTGGGACAGTTCCTGTGTCTGATCACTGTTAAGAACCTGAAGTGGTTTACAACCCAGACTTTGGCCCACCAGCTCAGTCTTCCGAAAGTCCTCTTCCCTGACCTTGTTCTAAATGCTTTAGTTTCAGGAAAGGAAAATGTGCCTCGCCTGCCTGAAGAACAGCATCTGCTTCTAGCCAAGATCTTCTCATAACAAAGTAAGAAAACCAGGCAGTAGAACTGCCATTATACCTGCCCCCTTCCTGTGCCAGGGTTTGTTGGGTGTGCTGTCTTTTTCAAAAAGGCATGAGGTATTCAGCCTTATCCCCATGAATTACTCCCCACCCACTCCCTCCTTATTACTTCGTGTCTTTCTCCCTTCTTCATCTTCCACTCTTAATATCTAGAATGTGCTCTCTCCACAGTCTTAGATCTATACTTTTACAGACCTGTGAGGGTTCACATCTAGTAAAAAGCCTTCATTTTATAAATGGAAGAGACCCAGAAAAGAGAAGGGCCTGGGCCAAGGAATGGACTGTAGCTGATTACTGTCAGTGGAAGGGGAACTGGGGCTTACTTAGATCATTTAACTCAGGTCAGTGACTTTTCACTACTTTCTCCTTTTATTCTTGGTATATGTTTGTGATACATGATAATACATTCTAAATATCACATCTTAATCAATTTTATTCCCCTTCTCCTCTTTGTTCCCCCATCTCCCACCATTCCTAGAGCCCATTCCCATCTCCACAAAGTCTACCTCCCTGTTTTTTATCCAGCAGGAAGAAGGATGGCCTTTGCCTTTAAATAAACCCGTCTTCAGTTTTACCCTGAATTGTTAGGGTCCATGTTGTTTTTTAAAAATTATTTCTAACATTTCTGAATCTTAGTTTTTAGGCTGTTAACTGACCTTTGTGAACCCAGGCTATCTTCTAGCTTCATGTGGTTTCATCTGATGGAAAATGTTAATATATCCTTGGAATGTCTTTCTAGAATCTGCTAGAAATGACAAAGGTGGGGTTAATCTATGTAAAAAAGTCTAACAGACATTCAATAATTAAATCCCTTCTCCCACTTCCAATGACCTGTCTTGTGTTTCTCCCTAAACAGCACAAGTGAGGTAGTGCCCTCACAAAGAGATTATACAGACCCAGGACAATTTACCCTTCTTTTACTTCCTAAATGTGTGATTGAGTGAGTCACCATTCCTCTCAGAGCCTAGTTTTTCCTTCTTGCATAATATAGAGACCTAGAGTACCTACCTCACTGGATAATTTTGAGAAGTAAATGAGAGAATACTTGTAAAGTAGTTAACATAATGCCAGGCATAAAGGGGAAAAAAAGCTGTTTGTTTTACTACTGGTTTTATTTCTATTTCCAAGTGGTCATGACCTCAGAAAAACAGACAGGGCTGACAGTTGTGCTTCTGAACAAGAAGAGAAAATGTTAATAGTTTCTCTATTCAGTAACCCTTGTAAAAGGCCCATATATTTTTTTTTTCTTTATTCTTTTCTTTTCTCTTTTCTTCTTTTTTTTCAGTGCTGGAAATTGAACCCAGACCCTCATACAAGCCAGGCAAGTGGTCTACCATTGAGCTATATTCCCATATATTCCCAGCCTACCTGATTTCTTAAATGAAACTATGAGACTCTGCCTGCAAATTTTGACTTGGCACGCTGGCAGTACATTCTACTGCCAGCTCAGAAAGCTGCCAAAACAGAAGTGTAACCCACCCTCTTGTAATGCCTTTTGAGATCCTAACCAGGATTTGGAAAACTCCTGCATATGGTCAAAAAACCAGCCCAGGTTTTGTACCAAACTGGCAGATAGGGAAAAGACATTCCAATAGTTTTAGTATCTGGAAAAGGGGGCACCTAGCACTATTCCCTCCCCCATTCAAGCACACCAGGCTATCCCCACCCCCTAAGCCCCCACTGCCAAACTGGAGCCCAGGACTTAATTTTAGAGAAAGGTCTGTAACCCAGGATACTGAATAAACAGGACTGGCAGGTGCAGGCTAGGGTCTGCAGTTTAGTATCGATAGGCTGCTGACATGAATATGGAAGTATTTCTCTATCAAGGTAAGCTTTCTTTCCTCACTTTCTAAATGATCTCACCTGCTTTCCTGTGCACAAACAAAACGAAACAAAACAAAACAAAAACTCTTATTCAGCTGGCTTTATGGGAGTCCTGAGCTGCTGGCAAAATTAGTGGCTGAGAAGTTGGAGGAAATTTGGCTGGGTGCCCAGGGAAGTTAAAGAAAACAATAGGCTCCCTTTTGTTACTCTTGGCAGAATGGCCAGGACCACACTGGCTTGTCTGTTTCTGGAACAATCTTGGAGTCATAGAGAATAGTTCATTGTCCCATGGAAAAGAGTGGTTCATTTTATGTCTCACAGATTGGGGAGGTTTATTGTGATGATGAACCTGAAAACTACATAAATGGCGGGGGGGGGACTCAAACCCTTAAAAACCATTCTTGCTTTCATATTTTGAGACCAGACTCAGGCAGAATAAGCCAATAAATGGTAGCTGAACTAAGCTAAAATTGGAATTATCTTTTCACTTTTAGTATCTAAATGACAGGAATCTTTCAGTGAACATGGGTTGAAATTCTAGCTTTACCAGTAACTGGCTGCAAAACTTGGAGCAAACCCCTTCACCACTCTGACCTCAGTCTCTTATATTTCATAAAACAATAGTGTCCAAAAGTTGTTTTTATGTGGATGTCTGTAATGTCTAATAACTGTGCATCTACTGTATGCCAAACAAGTCCTTTGTCAGGGGTTTAAATATCCATTGTTTGGTTTGAGCCTCAAAACAATCCTGCGAAATAAATATCATCCCTATTTATGGCTTAAATAGGTGAAAATTATTTCAAAGTTCATGTATTACAGGTAAGATATGGGATTTAAATTAAGTCTTTAACTTCAGTATATTTTGCATCACAGGGTGAAGACAGTAACGAGTGAAGAAAGCAGAGGACCAAAAGGTAAATCTTGATGGCAGGTCTGTTTGGAAGTTTGCTAAGAGGTTGGGGATAGCTTAGCATTCATTTTTCATTGGTCACTGAGTGATATTTTGTTTTGGATGGGCCTGTTGATCCCAGTCTAGCCCAATTTGGAAAGGGAGGTGGAAGGGGAGAAAAGAGCATTTCTACATTAAGGACGCACTTTGCAAATTCTAGGGAAAACAGTGATGCAAATTGTCATGAATGAGGATGACCAGGACCAGGTGACATTGAAATGATAGGAAGATAAGGTACAGGTAGGGGAGCTTTTACTTTATGGTGGCCAACCTTTTCCCCAGGCTGAAACAAGGGTTCTGTATAGTAACTATGTCATATTCCTACTACAGGTAGTCAAAAAATTATCTTGAGCTTTTCCTTCCTCTTTCTGCCTTATTTATTTATTTATTTATTTACTTATTTATTTATTTATTTCACTTTTTTGTAATATTGTGGATTGAACCCAGGGCCTGTGCAGTGGGTTATATCCCCAGCCTTTTTTTTTTAATTCTTATTTGGAGACAGGGCCTCACTAAGTTAATAAGTTATCCAGGCTGGGTTTGAACTTGTGGTCCTCTTGCCACAGTTTCCCAGAATGCTGGAATTACAAGCATGTACCAACCCAACTGACCCTCTTTCCTTTAAAAAAAATACTTCCTTTTTACTTTTTCCCAAGACTCTTGCTCACTTTTTCTATTTCATTTTCCATTTTCTGCTTTCCTTTTCCCTCGTCATTCTGGCTTCTCTTTGTGGGCTCAACAGAGACAAAAATATCCTTGCTCAAATGAAAAGTTTACACAGGAGTTTCAGATCTTTTATCTCATTTGATCTTTATACCAAATTAATGAAGGACCTAAGGCAGAGATTATCCTCATTTAAGCAATGAGGAAACTTTAATTCAGGAAGTTAAAAAATTTGCTCAAGGTCATATAATGAATAAATATGAACCCAGAACTGGAACCTGTTTTTTATTTTCTAGTGCCTGAACTCTTTCCAAGTGCCATCAACTATCTAAGTATTTCTAAAGGAATTTGATGGGCTTTCCCCTGATTCTGCACTTAATGAGTATGATAGCACCAAATTAAACAACAACAACCATAATAGCAGCAATGACAAATCTTTGTAGAGGAAAGAAAGAAAATCAGTAATTAGAAGGAAGGAAAACTAATGTTTAATAGGTCCCTACTCAGTTCCAGATGCTATGTAGAGATTATCTCATTTAAACACAACTTAGAAGAGTATTCAAACCTAAGGTTGTCTCACTCAAAGGTTCTGGCCTTTTAATACCCATGTACACATGCTTACATGTTTATATTATGTTTCTGTATGCCAGAACTTGAATGTACCTGCTCCTGACTATCCATACAGTGACAAAGCTTTGGGCTAGAATGTAGCTCAGTGGTAGTGTGCTTGTCTAGTAGACATAAAGGCCTAGGTTCTATTCTTAGCATTGAAAAAATGTTATAAAAAGATAAAGCTTTAATTGTGGCAATTTTCATTTATAAATAGATTTACTCATTTGTAATAACAGTAAGCATGAATACTTAGGCATTTTTTTGTGATATGGGGGATTGAGCATAAGGAATTCACCTAAGCTATGTCCTCAGCTCTTCATTTTTACATTTTGAGACAGGGTCTCTCATTTGCCCAGAGTGGCCTCAAATTGACAAACCCTCAGCTAGGATTACAAATGAGAGCTACATTTATAGGTATTTGAGCTTTATGCACTTCCAGATCTTAATTCATTAAATCCTCACAACTACTCTATGAGTCAACTAAAAGGATTAAAGATGAAAACTCCAAGGCTGGAGAAATGAAGCAGTTTTCTAAATCACACAGCTAGGAAAAGAGGTGCCAGGGTTCATTTAGGGAGTGTGATTCCAAAGCCTGTGTCCTGGATGCAAGATGTTGAAAGCAATTCTTGTTTCCTAAGATTTTGAAAACTAAATAAGATGGCAGGTGTGAAAAATACATTGTAGGGGCTGGGGATTTAGCTCAGTGGTTCTGGCTCCTGCCTTGCAAGCACAAGGACCGGTGTTTGATCTCTGGTACCAAACAAACAAACAAACAAACAAACAAAAAAACACATTATAAGGCAGAAACTGCTAGGAGAATGTTAAGCAGCAGTTTTTCTCCAGGTTCTGTTATCTTAGCCCTTTAGACCAGTCATCTTTACCACCTTGGAATGTTTACTCATTGTATAATGAAAGTGTGCACTAGTCTCTCTTGGGAACATTTCAACCTTACTATGTGTTTCTCCATTGTGGAGATCTTACCTGGACAGTTTTCTTTTTAGACACATAGGTTCAAGGCATGGCTGCCTTGCTAATACCTCTCTGAGAAGGAAACTTGAAGGAGGTCCATGTTGTATTCAACTTACAATGAGCAAAGAATACTCCTTTCCCATTGAGGCTTCCAAGGAATGGCCATCTGTGAACATATATACTACTGCATGCAGGTACACTTGACTGTACCTGTGTTTCATCAGTAAATATGTGTACTGGCATTGTGTGAGAGCTGTAATGACTCTTTTTTATGCTCTGTCTTACTTTTTAAAATTAATTGTGCAGTGATTCTTTAAGAACATCTTACATAGTGTATTTTTGATATTTCTGCATTTGTTTCTTTTATTAGACTATAATACTTCCACTACTCCTAAAAAGAAAAAGCCGTATAGTCCAACTCTACATATTCCATTATTTTATAAATTGGAAACTGAGACTTATTAAGGTGAATACACTTGCCTAAAGTCACTCTTTGAACAAGAGGCAGAACTTGAACTAGAGCCAACTGATGGAATAATACATGCTTATGTTTCCTTTTGTGTGTGTATGAACCTAGAGTCTTCATATTGAGCTATATCCTTAGCCTATTTATTTATTTATTTATTTAGACAAAGTCTTGTGAAGTTGCTATCATCGTGTCCTAGCCTTTCAGAGTGTTGTCATTACAGGACTGCACCACCAAGACTTTCTGCTTATACCTCTTTGTGTCACTTTAGCAATGGCTATTATGGTCCGCCTACTGGGCTAAAATAACCACATTGGGTAGTAGATACACAGACTGCTCTGACATGACAGCCACTCTCAAAGGGATTTATAGCGCAATTTGTAAAATAAGAACAGTTCCCCATGCAGCTCAGAAAATAACAATAATACAAAGTCTGACTTAATCCACTTGAGTGCTATAGAGAGTACGTGACCCTAAGTGGTACAGAAAGGCTAACAGTGTTCTTCTGGAAGAGTTAAGATTTAAGTTAGCCTTTGGTGTAGAAATGTACATAGTATGGAAAACTAGCTGAATATCATAGCACAAGCTTATAATTTTAGCATTCTGTGAAGCTGAGGCAGGAAGGTCACAGATTTGAGCCCAGCCTGGGTAATTTAGTGATTTAGTGTTTTAAAGTAAAAAATAAATAAATAAAAGGGGCTGGGGATGTAGCTTAGTGCAAAGACCTTGAATTCAATCCCTAATACCATAAATAAACAAGCAAGCAACAGCTAATTGTAGCCAAGTGGGAGAAGGAAGAGGAAGGAAACCAGTAGAGACTGCCTACTATGTTCTAAACACTGATGTTACAGGGGCCCTTTCATGTATATTTTCTGATTTATTTCTCCAAGGCTGATATTACAGCCACTTTACAGAGGAGAAAACAATTTCATAGCTGTAAAGCAATACCCAAGGTTACATAACTTATCAATGGGAGAGCCAAGTTTTGAAAAGAATTCCCAAACGGGTCATATCTTAGGTAAAGGCTGTTCCGCCAAGCATAATTTGGAACCTAGGAAGCATACTTGAATGATCACTGCATTTGAAAAAGCCTGAAAATTTGTAAGGAAGTCTAGAGGTTTGTTTTTAAGTCAAGGTAAATATCTGGAACTTTTCTTTTCATTTAAGAATCTGTGCATATCTGTGTGTGTGAGTGTGCTTGTGTAGTACTGGCTATCAATCCCAGGGGCATTGTATCACTGAGCTGTATGTCCAACCTCATCTTATTTTGAGATGATATCTTACTAATTTTCCTAGGCAGGACTTGAACTTGTGATCCTCTGCCTCAGCCTCCTAAAATATATGGATGATAGGCATGTAACACCACACCTGGCTTTGTGTATATCATTTTGTTTTGTGTTACTGGGGATTAATTTTCTATTTTTGATTAACCATACCTATTTCATGTGCTTGGGTTCAAGATTTAGTGAAATAACTTATATAAAGCAATGAATGTGGTGTTTTGTGTGTAGTAATCTCCCATGAATGGCAGTCACCTTTGTCATTATTATCTGTATGTATGTATGTATGTATGTACGTATGTTTCTAAAGTAATCATAATCGTATGTAATTGCATGGCTTAGAGTGTGTTTTACCTAGATATAACTATAGTTGTGGTCATATACATGTTTTCTGTTCATGTACATGTGAGTCTGCAAATGTGTATTTGTGGAAGATACCATATGATTTAGATCATAGGTATTAAAGTTTTACTTCCTGGAATCAAATCTTTACCTATTGTTCACTAGATGGCCTTGGGAAAATTATACTTCTGTTCATTCCTCTGCTGTAATATGGGGATAATGATGATATCTACTTAATAGGGGGTTTGTGTGCAAAATAGCTACAGCATGGACAGACTGTAAGTACTGGTTATTATTATTATCATTATTCTAAAGGTAACTCTGTGTCAATGAGTTCTATGTGTGATTGTAAATGTATGCATCTTTGCCTTTAACTAAGATTGCATGGGCCTATGTATGCAAATGTGTGTATATGTGTGTTTATGTGATGTTCTCTGTGTTTTGGTGTTTGACCAGCAATGTATGATATAACTGAGTGTTTTATCCTAGTTCAAGAATTCTAACCTCCTGGCTTATATTGCTGAAGTGAGAGGGTAAAAGTTTGCCTCTGATTCTGATTCAGGATTGGACCTGTAAAATGGGTTAGCACCTAGCCTTAGGAATCAGCAAAGAGCATTTCTTTTGAGAAGTCCAGTATATTTCCCTCAATACTCTTTTTTTGTTTCATTTTTAACTTTTTTGAAGTATGACATGCATGCAAGTACACAGGTTTTAAGCTGATAGCTCAGTATATTTTCACAAAAGAGACATAACTGACATATATGTCAAGAAGCAAGAAAATTAGAAGCCTTTCTTCATTGATACATACCTGAAGGGTAAAAACTATGGTTTGTACTTCTCTTTCTCATCCCTTTCTTCCTCTTCCTCCTTTAAGTACTCTTGGTGCTTAGGGTGGAACCCAGGGCTTTATGTATGCTTGGCACATGCTGTACACTGAGCCATAATCCCCAATCTTTATCCTTACTTCTAATAGCACATGCTGCATTTCTCTGTTTTTTTTCTTTGCATAAATGAAGCCATACAGTTGGTGTGCTTTTTGTGACCAGTTTCTTTATGCAACATTAAATTTTTGAGAGTTGTCAGTATGGTTGTGTGTGGTTGTAGCTTGTTCATTACTATTGCCATTTTGAAATCCATTGTAGAAATAAAATGCAACTCATACATGTTAGTATGTGTGAACAGTTTGTTTCAATTTTGGGTTTATGAATATTCCAGTAAATGTCTTTTGATGAATTCTCATTTGTTTATAAACAATTTATCGATGATAGGAAGTGAGTAGCAATAAGTCTTCCTCTTTGCTATGGGAAAACAGGTAGAAGAAGAATTAATGACTTGATTTAGGTAACAAGTGAGTCAGTGCGGCCTAATCAGGCTTCTGATGCCTGATTCCTGATTCTTGGGACAGAGTGCAATTCTTTCTTTTTTAGTACTGAAGGAACTCTTCTAAAGGAAGCGATGCATGCTTATCATACAAAGGACTTTTTAACTTTGTCCTCCAAAGTCTGATATGCACAAATCACAGAACACTTGTTGAACTGAAAGTAATTACATAAGGTTGGCGAACTGAGATGGTTTAGTTTTGCTTTTTCAGCCACTGCATCTGGCCCTTGCCTCTTTGGTTTTCTAGACACATGCAAAGCCATTTGTTCTCTTTCTTTCATACCAGCAGCTTTCATTTGTCTGTTTCCCAGGGTAATGTGGGCCATGAAGCCAGGCCACCTTCTCTGGGCTCTACTGTTCATACAATCCTTCTGGCCACTACTGACGGATGGGGCCACTCGAATCTACTACGTGGGCATTCGGGACGTGCAGTGGAACTATGCTCCCAAGGGGAGGAATGTCATCACAAACCAGCCTCTGGACAGTGACGAGTAGGTTTAATCTCTTATAATTTTATAGCTAGAGTTGGAAAAGGACATCCCTGAGGCCAGAAGGTAGCTTTTTGAGGGTGCTTTCCAAGGGTGTGGTAGTGGTCAGTTTCTGATCTCTTTGGGCTGTACATGCGAGAAGTGTCCTAGGAAAAGAGTTGATTCAGGAGCCAGCATTCCATCTAGTGTCTGCTTTTCCACACTGATGTGCCTGAGCAGTTTTAGAATCTTAAAGATAATTCTGGGATTCCTTGATTCTAACAGTTGTTTAGCTTATTTAAAAGTATAAATAAAGAGCAACATAAAAGATAATAGGAGGTAGGGAGAAAGATCTTTCTCAAATGGGAAGGGGATCAAGAGATGAAGGGAGGGGGAGGGAAAGGGGATAAAAAAAGAATTAAGATGTGTTATGTACATGTACCAATTCCCCACAAGAATGTAAACATTATGTATTACAAACATACACTAACAAAAAGATACACAAATTAAATGTACACGGTGCTTGTAAAAGTATAGTGAAACTGTTGCTTCCACAGTTTGGAGAAACTATCCTGATTTTAGATACATATATGAAAATGTAGAAAAATATAGTAAGCCTTAGATGCAAGGAAATGATACTAATAGCTATAATTAATATAAGACTCTGTGACATATACCATGCTAGGCATTTCCAAACTTTATGTCATTAATTCTTACAAAAATTCTAGGAAGTATAAGTGACTCTTTTCTTTCCCTTTCTCTCTCCCTCCCTCCCTCGCCCTCTCTCCCTCTTTCTCTTGCTCTGGAGCACTCTCTCTCTCCCCTCCCTTCCCACCTCTCTCTATCTTTTGGTAGTGAGAATCAAACCCAGGCATTCTCAGCCTTTTATTTTGAGATAAGGTCTCGCATAGTCTCTAAGTTACTCAGGCTGGGCTTGTAATCCTTCTACCTCAGCCTCCCAGACTACTGGGATTACAGGAGCTAACCACCTTGTCTGATTGAAGTAAACTTTCTTGATTTTAGAAACTTGCTAGTGCTCTGTATATATCTGTTGAAAAAAATACGAATTCATATATTTTTAAAACTTTTGTGACAATGACCCACTTCATCTCCCTAAAGCATCAGCGTTTTTCAAAGTTGACACATTGCAGTACCTCAAAAAATGCTGTTACTTAATGAAGGGAAGTAATGAAGTTTTTCCCTCAGAGACAATTTTAATATTGTACTTTCTGACTCCAAAACTCTTGTATCTCTGAGTTCTCTAGGAAGAATTATAGCAGGATTAACAGCTCTGCCTTTTTTCCCAATGGTAGGGATTAAGCCCTGAACCTCAGGCATTCCATGTAAGAGCTATGTCTAGCACAAGCGCTGTCTTTTTATCACAAACCATCCACCTAGAGTCAGAGTCCTTGTATTAAAATTGTCCTTGAAGGAATAACTTTATTATCCCCCATCTCCAATACTTTGAAATCATAGCATTTACAAAGCTTTTGCAATATGCCAGGTACTATTCTTTTAAGTTCTTTATGTATTTTAACTCTTAGGTTACTCTTTATCTTGTTGTGATGGAATAAAACCCAGGGCCTCATGCATGTTAAGCATGCACTCTATCACTGAGCTACAACACCCCCAGACCTAAATTTTAATTATTTTAGTCAATAATAACAAGGGCTTGAGTCAGATACTGTGATTATCTTCATTTTACAGGTAGTGAAATTATGCATAAAGAAGTTAACTAACTTGCTCAACACTCCACAAATTAAAGTAGGAAAGTTGGCATTCAATCCAAGTTGCCTGGATCTAGAGCTTGTAGTCATAGCCACTGTGCTTTAAGGATCTCCATGTATAGCAGGGTGATACCAAGAGCACATCAGTGGAGATCTGATGATTTAAAAAGAATCAATATACAGTTGATTGTGTCCCTATTACTATATACTGGGTTGAATCCTGTGAAATCACCTTTTTTGAAGCGAAGAAATCATCACATATTAGCAATTTCAAGTGCTTAAATTTACTACTTACTATTTTCTAAACACTAAACCTAAAGATTTTATGTTTTTGTAAATATAATATAAATGTCTCTTGTTTTGCCCTAAACATGAAAATTTGTTGTTGTTGTTGTTGTTTGTTTTGTTTTGTTTTTTGCCTTCGTACTGAGCTGCATCCTTAGCCCTTTTTTATTTTGTTTAATTTTGAGACTGGATCTCCTTAAGTTGTCCAGTCAGGGTTTGAACTTTCCTTCCTCCTGCCTCAGTTTCCAGAGTGCTTGGCATTATAAGTATGTACCACCATGTCCAGCTGATAGAAATGCTTTTGTCAGCCTTCGGTGGAAATGAGATTTCCAGTCATTTAAAGATGGTGGAAAAATTGTAACTATTTTCTTCTTTCCCAGAGAGGCTTCCAGATTCCTAAAGCCTGACAAGAACAGGATAGGGAGCAGCTACAAGAAGACCATCTATAAAGAATACAAGGATGACTCTTACCTGGATGAAGTGGTCCAGCCTGCCTGGTTGGGCTTCTTGGGGCCAGTGTTACGGGCTGAGGTGGGGGATGTCATCCTTATCCACCTGAAGAATTTTGCCTCTCGTCCCTATACCATACACCCCCATGGTGTTTTCTACGAAAAGGACTCAGAAGGTAAACTAGATTGGGTTTTCTTTCTCTCACTCCCATAAAGTATCATTTTTCCTTTAATGCCATCTGAGAAAGAAGAGCTGGGAGCACGGAAGTCTTTTCTTATTTATCAATCTGAGGTGGCAAAGACTTTACTCAGAGAAAACATGGCTGGGTATCAGTTTTTTTTTTTTCATATATCGAGTGACTTGGGCAAGTCACTGATCTTCTTTGGGCTTCAGATTCTTTATTGAAAATGTGAAGACACAACCTTTTGCTATCACAAGGAGCTACTTTAATGACATTTCCAGAGAATACTTGAATATGCTTTGAAAAGAGAACTGTTCTGTGTATGTCTTATTATAATGTTTTCCAAAAGGTCCACTCTTTTCATAAAAGGGAATTCAGCTTATTCTTCTGTGTCCTTTAGGGATCTGTAATACTTAAACAGTGAATGAGAGGAATACAGAGTGAAGTCAGAAGATCCTAGCTTGTTGTCAGGATGCAGAGAATAGGGAATTACTGTATACAGTTGATGGGCATGTAAATTAAGATAGGTATTATGTAAAAGTATAGAAGTTCATCAAAAAATAAAAATAAAAGTACTCTACTACCCACCAATCCCACTCCAGGGTGTATATCTGAAAGAAATTAAATCAGCATGTTGAGAAGACACCTGTACAGTGGACCTTAGAGTTATGACCAACCTGACATATGAACAACCTGGGTTTTAACCAGAATTTTAGTTTTAACTTATGACTGAAGTCTTGTGTTACAAACTGAATGCAGGCCATTTGTGCTTCCAGATTGTCTCAGATACAGATTTAACCCTTAAAGAGTTATGGAAGGAACATTGCAATATCCGTTCCTGTGTGGGGTTAATTGAGAAATCCTGGGCCAGTGACACTGAGATCTGCCTGGATATAGGAGAGAGACTTTGAAAGCTGTGTAGAGGAGCCTGAGCCTTCAAGTGACCAACCTGAGTTACAACCAGCCTTCACTAGCGAATTGAGTTTGTAAGTCAAAGGTCCACTGTATTACATGTTTATTGCAGCACTTCTTAATAGCTAGGATATGAAGTTAACCTAAATATCTATAAACATATGGAAAAAGAAAATGTGCTGTAAGGCTGGGAGTATAAGTCAGTGGTAGAGTACTTGCTTAACATGTGTGAGGCTCTGGGTTCCATTCTCAACACTGAAAAAAATTGTGATAAATGTCTACATAGTGGAATCCTAGTCACCCCTAAAAAGGAGGAAGTCTTGTCTTGTGAAAACATGGATGGACATGGAGGACACTATGTTTAGTGAAATAATCCAGATACAGAAAGACAAACATAGTATGGTTTTTTTCATGTGAATTCTAAGAAAAAGATGGTCTAGTCTGAGCACACCCTTGTAATTTCAGCGCTGGAGAGGGTGGGGCAGAAGAAGCACAAGTTCACCAGCCAGCCTTAGAAAGTTCATGAGACTTTTTCAAAATGAAAAAGACAGAGGATATAGCTCAGTGGTAGAACACCCATGGGTTCAATCCCCAGGACTAAAAAAAATGATCTTATAGAAGTTGATAGTAGAATAGTGGGCACCAAAGACTGAAGAGTATGGGCGAAGGGGGTTGGAGAGAGTCTGGCCAGCAGATACAGTTTTACAATTAGAAAGCAGGAGAAATTTCTGGTGTGCTGTGGTGCTGCAGAGTGAATATACTTAACAGTATGCACTATATAGCTCTCAAAATAGAATAATTTTGAATGTATTCGTAATATCAAAACCCTAACCAAGTAAGAGATTTTTAAAGAACATTTCCTTAGAAGGATGAAGTTGAGAAATGTGACCCCCCCTTTTTTCAGAATTCCTTCAACTTTAATTGTGGGAATAAAATCAGGTAGCCACTTAAGGATAAAATATAGCCCCTGACTCAATCAAATGTTGTTCTTTTTTAAAAAATTAATTTTATTGGTACAGTATATGTATATCTATTATAGATATATAGATATAGTGATCACATTCATCATAGTGAATTTGTACCTGTTCATAACATATCTTTTTTTTTAAATTCATTGTTTATTGGTACATTTTAGGTATACAGTATGATGACATTCATCATAGGAAATATGTACTCTTTGCATGATAGATCTTGGTTCTTATTTTTACCCGCTCCTCTACCCTCCCTTCAACCCCCTCCACCCCTCCCTATGTACAAAGACTGTTTCCGTTTTTTTTTTTTTTCCTTTTAGGACACACATGGGTAAATACAGAATCTTTTCTCTGGTGTGAGAAACTGAAAGTGTAAATGTGGGTCAAATGTATAATAGATAATGTGAAATAGGAAGAAAAGGTCCCAAGGGGAAGGGGAAGTGGGAGGGGGAGGGGAAACAAAAGAAGGGAAAGGAAAAAGTACATAATATATCTTTATTCTTCTTTTTTCCCCAATCTCCTCCCCTGGCTTCAACTCCTTCCCTCCTTATTTACAAAAGCTTTGTCTCCATTTTTTCCTTCTATTCTCTTTTTAAAATTTTTATTAGCATATGTGGTTAAAAGTTGCAAAAATTGATTTCATTCCTCTTCTTTACCAGTCTTGCCCTTCAAAAACATCAGCCTATGTAATGCTGCCACTGGCCAGATTGCAAACAATACCAGGCAGATCAGAGATCTCTGCTCTGGTCTGAGGCATGGGGTAAAAAACATTTTTTTAGAAGTGATAGAAATTAAAATCACTTCATCATTTTCTTTTCTGAATGGAAACATTTAGTGAAATATATTATAACATCTCTTATCTTCCATCTATTAAAGTAACTATCATTTCAAGCTCATTTTCTTTTTTTTTCAGCTTTAATTGAGTTCATTGGTAAATTTTAGGGATACAGTATGCTCATTTCCTATGCAGGTTTTTAGGTGTTATTAACGTATCATTCATTTCTCATAGCAAGCCTAAGCTTATTTAAAATTTTTTATTTTGCCTCAGATCACACTGAAGAACACATACTGAAGAATACACTCTTTGTAATATAACTTTTTTTGCAGTGCTGGGGAATGAACTCAGGGCCTTTGCATGGATCTGGATTCCCAGCCCTGTTTTTATTTTCTATTTTCTATTTTGAGACAGGGTCCTGCTATGTAGCTAAGTTGTCAAGGTTAGTCTTACACTTGTGCTCTTCCTGTCTCAGCCTCCCAGAGTACTGGTATTTCAGGTGTACACTATCATATCTAGCTGTTTAAAATCCTTTTTAATGAAAGCATTTATATTTATATTACATATAAAGTATATATCATAGGGCAGTGTGAAATGACAAATGTGTGTATGTAGATCATTTTGATTTATTATTTCACATTGGAAATTAGAAAATATATTGATAACTATATAGATGTTATGAAGGAGTTATTTCTATTTTTGTACTAAACATCATTGGATGAACTAAAACCAAAACATGACATTGTAAGTAGTAGTTTTGCTTTGCCTTACTATCTATATATTTGAACACTGCTACTCCAGATAATCCTCATCCCTGGCATGTTCAATTAAATTTGTTTTCCTAGAATATATAGCGATCTTTTAAAATTCTTTTCTATTGATGAAATGGAAATACTGGTTTTCTTTATGAATGAATTTTCATATTTGTAAGTGCTGAGTTTATAATTCAGGTTTGAGCAATGTCTGAATAAGTGAGGAAAATAACTTGCTGAATATATATAGTTAAATATGGTCAGAATGAGTTGTATATATACTTCTGAAAAGAACAAATTTAATTATTTCTTATATTAAGCAGAAATAAGAATTATAAAAATATGCTTTAATAGTTATGTTTGTGCATTAGTTTTTTCAATTTGTTTAATCATTTCACTGCTAAAATTTTGGCTCCCATTCCCATTTTGTTCTTTACAATTTTAAACAAGTCTCTGTATTTAATACCACAGTGGTGAACTGGGTGTGGTGATGAATGTCTGTAATCCTAGGACTCTGAGATACTGAGGCAGGAGGATTGCAAGTAGCGTTCAGCCTGGACAGTTTAGTGGCTTAGAGACACTCTGTCCAAATATAAAAAATGAGAAAGGGCTATGGATATAACTCAGTGCAAAGATCTTGATTTCAATCCCCCGCAACACAAAAACAAACAAGAACAACAATCTATGATGATAAATTTAATAAGAAAAATAGACATGTGGAGAATTTAATGTGATGGATGTGGAACAAAGTAAGGAGACCTTAGTTTGGCCTTTAACTCCCTACATGACCTTGATCCAGTTACTTCTCAGGTTTCTTTTCCATATAATGGGGAATTGATGCTTAAATCGTCTTTAAGCTGAAATTGTGTGATTTTTCTGCTTTTAGTTTTCCGAAGTGAATGGGAAATTTTGTCTTCTCCCTTGCTTCCATGCCACCAGCTTTGTACTATGGCACTACTAGTGTGGTCTTGCAGCACTTTATCAGGTTAGCTCCTTCCCAAGTGGCCAGTATCTCTCCATCCATCGTTTATGCGAGGACTGGGGTGAGGAACACTGTACAGGACCTTAGAATATCATGGTTTTCAAGACTAGATCTGAGTGTCCTGTGTATTCACTCTTGGCTTTTATGTCTGTCATTCTTCCTTTCACTCACCCTGGTACTAGACATGTACAATTTCATTTTCTAGGCTCCCTATACCCAGACGGATCTTCTGGGACACTGAAAGCTGATGACTCTGTTCCCCCGGGGGGCAGCCATATATACAACTGGACCATTCCAGAAAGTCATGCACCCACCGTTGCTGACCCAGCATGCCTCACTTGGATCTACCATTCTCATGTAGATTCTCCAAGAGACATTGCAACTGGCCTCATTGGACCCCTCATCACCTGTAAAAGAGGTATGAGGCCCAAGGATAATCTACGGGGTGCAGTTTGGGACATTTGGGGAAAGCAACTTCATCTGGGGCAACAGCCTGAAGATTGTTAATTCAGCACCTTTGTTTATTAACAGAAACATCCTTACCAAACTCGCTTTCCACAATTTTTTCTGCATCATTGCTTTTTTTCTTTAAAATTAACTCTAAAAACTAAAAATATAAGTTTTACTTTGTTTATTTTTAATGGTATTTTAAAATTTCAAATTGACAAATTAATTGGAATAGGATGCACTAAAGGAATAGTCAGGTTTGAAGGCCAGGGTCTGGCAGGAATGTGGTCAGCTTGAGGTCCTGGGTTAAAGACATAATCAAAGTAGACGAGAATGAAATATTCTAAATCCTATGTGACCCACTTTCAAGTTCAACTGTATTTGTGGTGTTGTCTGGAGAGTTTAGAAACTGAAGTTAGCTCCAGAAGTCTACATTTGCTTTTCTCTGTCTGACAGACCCTTACCATTCTACCCCTTTCTTATGAGTACCCCCTACAGCTTACTGTTGCTACAGAAAGGAGGTTCTCAAATCACCTTTCATACTTGCCCTAGGAACCCTGGATGGGAATTCTCCTCCTCAGAGGCAGGACGTGGACTATAATTTCTTCCTGCTCTTCAGTGTGGTGGATGAAAACCTTAGCTGGCACCTTGATGAGAACATTGCCACTTACTGTTTAGACCCTGCCTCAGTGGACAAAGAAGATGAGGACTTTCAAGAGAGCAACAGAATGCACGGTGAGCTGGGAGGAAGGGGCTATATTCTGTCAGTGAACACTGATGAAGAGTTTTTACAGGGCCATACCAAACACATTTTCTAACCAGTCTGTAACTCCTCACCTACTCAAATTCATTTTCACATATTCACATAATACTTCTGAAGACCCACTGAGCTCATCACACATCAAATAATTCTAGAAAATAAGAGCCAAAGAGGATTTTAGAAACCATTTAGACCAACTCTTCTATTTTACAGATGTGTAAGTAAAGCCTAGAAATGGTAATTGACTCACACAAGGTGATATAGTAAAATTTTCAGATGTGAAACTACAACTCCAACCCTCTAGTCATTTATCTCCTGCTCTTTGCATTGCCTCATATGTTCTGCCACCATTCTGATGCTCTATAATGCATTCTCTCATTATCTTAACCATTCTCCCACCCAATCTAAAACCATCTACTTCTAATGCTGTTGGGTTCCCAACTAAAGTGTCACTACATACCCATGTACTCCATGATTCCCTGGACAAAACTTGCTCTGTAATCTCTTTATTCCCTGTTAAATCAAAATAACTCTATGCCTTAGAGATCTTCTTCATATTGCTGGTTTGAAATATTGGCTTTACCACTAACTAGCTTTGTGGAGTTATGAAAGGAACTTTGTCTTTAGAGTCTTGCTTTCTTTGCTTTTTTGAATAAGACTAATGATATTGGCCCTTTTCCAACAGCTGTTTATAATATTGAAATGAGATAATACAAGTGGTTAGTACAGTGTACTCTTTAAAACTTCATTAAGATATTATCAATTATTATTGTCAGATGGTAAGATGTCTCTCATTTGTCTGTGCTTTTCTAAAACTGGTATTTTCTGTTGTAGCAATCAATGGCTTTGTCTTTGGAAACTTACCAGAGCTGAGCATGTGTGCACATAAGCACGTGGCCTGGCACTTATTTGGCATGGGCAATGAAGTGGATGTCCACACAGCTTTCTTTCATGGACAGATGCTGACCACCCGGGGACACCGCACTGATGTGATTAACATCTTTCCAGCCACTTTTGTGACAGCTGAGATGGCACCTCAGAAGCCCGGCATCTGGTTAATCAGCTGTCAAGTGAACAGTCACTTGCAAAGTGAGATGCAAAAATTTCTGACTCTTAGGGTGTTGGAGGGGGGTTTCAGTAATTGTCAATATGAGCCTAAAAATCAAGTGAATCTACTTCTAGGCAATAAATTCTTAGAGTCCTGAGCAAATAAAAAAAATCAGCTTTAAAGTCTATCTATCCATCCTTAGGACACCTTATGTTTGAGATGGAGAAGAGAAAATCTAAGGAGATATGTTCAAGCCTACCTAAAAAGTTAATGGCAGAACCAAGAAAGAACTTAGGGACCCTGACTTCTAGTTTAGTGCTTAAGCAAGCATACAGAGATACCTCACCTGAATGACCTGTCATATGACTCCACGCCAGAATTTTAGGCTCATATTTTATTCAGAAAGTCCTTGACTGTGCCTATGACTCTACAAGTTTTACCTATTTTATTTTCCAGGAGATTGTTTCAGTTTTAACATTTAGATCATTGATACATTTTGATATTAGTTTAATACTTTCCAAGAGATATAGGTCTAGATTAAATCTTCTATATGTGTATAACCAGCTTTCCCAGCACCATTTGTTAAAGAGGCTACCTTTCCTCCAGCTTATGTTTTTGGACCCTCTGATCAGATGGTTAAATATGCCTGAAATTGTTTCTGCATGCTCTATTCTGTTCCATTGATACTCATGCCTGGTTTTATGCCAATACCATGCTGTGTATTTTTTTTTTCATCACTGTAGTAATGTGGTATACCAAAAAATCTGGGATTATGGAGTTTCTTGCTTTGCTCTTGCTGCCCAGGAGTACTTCTGCTATTCCGGGTCTCTTAAAGTTCCTACAAATGCTAGGATTGTTTTCTGTACTTCTGTGAGGATTCATTAATATTTTGATTATAATGCTATTAAGTTTGTCTATCAGTTTTGGTAATATGGCCATTTTTTTTTTAGTTTATTGGTACATTTTAGGTATACAGTACAGTTATATTCATTATTGGGATCTTGTACCTTTACATGACACCTCTTGGTTCTCATTATTTCCCCTTATCCATGGCCATTTTGACAATACCTGTTCTGCCCATGTAGAAATGGGATATCTTTCTATTTTCTGATATCTGCTTTGATCTTTTTCAGAGCACTGTAGTTTTTGTTGTAGTGGTCTCACTTGTTTAGTTTGGTTAACTCCTAAGTACTATAGAATTTTTCTTGATGTTATTGTGAGGAGTATTGTTTCCCTAATTTCTTTCTTACTGAGTTCAATATCAGTAAACAGAAATGCTATTCATTTTTCATGTTGAATATATCCTGCTACATCGCTGAATTTGCTTATTAATTCTAGGAGCTTTTTGGTGGAGTCTTTTGGCTTTTCTACATAATGGATCATGTCATCTGAAAATAATGATAATTTGACTTTTTCCTCCTTTCCATACATACTGCTTTTATTTCTTTCTCTTGTCTGATTGGTCTTGCTGTTTTGAGTACTATATTGAAAAGGAGTGGTGATAGAAGATATCTTGCTTTTGATTTTAGAGGGAAAGCAATCATTTTCCCCATTTAATATTATGATAGAAGCAGGTTTGCCATAAAGTGCTCTTTTCTGAATGAAATAATGTCTTTCTATTTTCTTCAGGGATTTTTATCACAGGTAGATGTAGAACTTTCTCAAAGGCTCTTCCTTCATTTATTGACATAATTGTATGATTTTTGTCTTTGCTTCCATTTATGTGATATGTTACATTTATTTATTTGCATGTGTTAGACTATACTGACTATACTTGCATCTCTGGGATGAAGCCAAATTGGTTGTGATGCCTGATCATTTTTATGATTTGTTGCATTCTCTTTACTGAATATTGTTAAGGATTTTTGTGTCTTTGTTTCTAAAAAGATTGGCCTGTAGTCATTTTTTGGTTCCGTCCTTTTCTGGTTTTAGAATCAGGGTAATGCTAGCTTCCATGAATTATTTTGGGAGTATTCTTTTTCTTTCAATTCATGAAAGAGTTTGAGAAGAATCGGCACTAGATCTTTCCTGGAAATCTAGAATTCAGCAGTGAAACCATCTGTTCTTGAGCTTTTCTGTGTTAATAGGTTTTTATTATTGTTTCCATGTCATTGCTCTTTATGGGTTTATTCAGCTTTTTTATATCTTTGCTCATTTTTGATAATTCATACATATTTAAGAATCTATCCATTTTTATGTATTCTCTATTAGAGTACAAATTTGCAAAGTAGTTACTAAAAACCTTCTGGATTCAAGAAGTGTATATTGTGATTTTGGCTTTTTCAATTTGCCTTAAATTAGTTCTTTTCTTTCCTTTCTTGGGTAAAATTTGCTAAAGGTTTATCTACTTTGTTTATTCTGTAATAGAACTAGTTTTTCAATTCATTGATTCTTTGTAGTAGTTTTTTCAGTCTTGACTTCATTAATTTGTGCTCTGATATTTAAAATGTGTTTCCTTGTGCTAGCTTTAGATTTGGATTCTTCTTATCTAGTACCTTGTAGTGCATCATTAGGTTTTAATTAGGATTCACTCCATTTTTCTGATGTGAACAATTGCAGGTCTAAATTTGGCTGTTTAAAGTGCTTTCCCTGTGTCTCATAAGTTCTGGTATGTTATACTGGCATTATCATTTGATTGTAGGAACTATCTCATTTCTTCCTTGACTTCTTCTTAGACTCATTATTTTTAGAGTATATTGTTTAGTTTCCATGTGTTTGTATAACTTCTGTGGTGTATTTTGCATTTAATGTTGTTTCATCTCACTATGATCTCATAATATGCATGAGGTAATATAGATTCTTTTGCATTGATTTAAGCATTCTTTATGGGCTAGTGTGTAGTCTATTTTGGATAATGTTCTATGTGCTGCTTAGAAGAATGTGTATTCTGTTATTGTTGGGTAAAACATTCTAGATATACCTCTTAAGTCTATTTGTTTGAAAGTGTGATTTGACTCTGATATATTTTTTTTTTTGGTCTATTTGATCTTTCTGCTTGTGACAGGGGGTACTAAGGTCCCCATTATAACGTTGACAGTTATTTGGTGCCCAGACAGTACTTTTATGCCCAGTAGAATGTGTTTTATGAAGTTAGGCATGCCTGCATTTGGTGCTTATATGTTTATAATTGTCATCTTTTCCTGTTGAATTTTTTCTCCAGCAAATATTTAGCTACATTCTTTGCTTTTTCTGATCAGTTTTTCCTTGAAATACACTTTGTCTGAAAGTAGGATAGCTACTCCTGCTTGTTTTTGAGTTCCCATTGCATGGGATATCTTGTCTATTTGGTTTTTAGTCTACAAATTTCTTATTAGATGTAATGTGTTTCATGAGTAAAGTATATTGTTGGGTTTTGCCTCTTCATCCATTCTGCCATTGCTTATCTTTTGGTAGGAGAATTGAGACAGTTCATTTTTGAGAATTATTACTGAACAGTATAGACTTATTTCTTTCATTATATTATCTTCCTGTTTATGATATTTTTCCTTCCGCTTAACTTCTCATCTTGCCTGGTTTATCAATTCTTTTAGACATTTTCACATTGTTGGCCTTGCTGTCTCCTTCTAGGGCATCCTTGAGAAATTTTTTGGTAGTGCTGCATTGTTTCTGATTTTTTTCTTTTCTTTTTCTTTTTTTTTTTTTTTTTTTTTTTTTTTTTGGTACTGGGGATTGAACTCAGGTCCTTGCACTTGTGAGTCAGGCACAGTGCCACTGAACTAAATCCCCAGTCTTGTTTCTAAACTTCTTAAGGCATTTTTGTCATGGAATATCCTTATTTATTCATCGATTTTGAAAGATAGTTTTGCAGGATGTATTAATCTGGGTTGGGAGTTGTTTTCTTTTAGGGATTAAAACACATCACTCCAAGCTTTTCTGGTCTTTAAGTTTTGTGTTGAGAAGTCTGTTGTAATTTTAATGCATTTACCTTTATGAATAATTACTTGCTTTTCTGTAACAGCTTTTAAATTTGTATTTTTGTGTTGAAATTCTGGGATTTTGACTATAATATAATATAATATAATATATTGTGTAAAAGTTCTTTTATAAACTTGACTCTTTGGTGTTCCATATGCCTCACTTACCGGTATGTTAAATCCTTGACCCATACTTAGTTACATTATCTTCTATTATTTCTATAAACAAGTTTTATATGCCAATTGTGCTATCTTCTTATTTTTCAGTAATTTCAAATAATTTTAGCTTAGTATTCTTTGTGCTGTCTAGCAGCTGTTGGGCCCATTTTTCAAGTTCTTTTGTTGTTTTCAAGATATTTCTGAGTACTTGGTCAATCAACATCAGTCTTATATTTCAGTTCTAATGCTTTGCCCTCATATTGGTCACTTCTGCTTGCTGTACTTACAATAGAGCTTTTAATCTTCTGGATTTTTGCATGGTACCTTTGCATGAGCTACAATTCTTTGCTAATTTAGTCACTCATGTTTTGGACACTTTTGTTTAGCTCAGCTAGTTTTCTTTAGTATTTTCTGTAAACTTGCTATTCGTTTTGTTTCGTAAACACTATAGCTGTTTACTTACATCTTCTTTAAACTCACTAAACACATTATTCATCTGTTTTTAATCTCATCATTTATCTTTCCAAATAATACAGCTATGTAGCTTTTGATTTCCTCCTCCTTACTGCCCCAGGGATCAGTGTTGAGGGAGTTGGGAATTTGTGGGGGCATTTTTTGTTGCCTTATATTTTCGTGTTTCTTTTTTTCCTGTTTTTTTTGGGTGTGTGTGTGTGTGTGTGTGTCTGTGTGTGTCTGTGTGTGTGTGTGTGCGTGCACATGTTCAAAGGTTTGTGTGCACTTACAATGGAAATACTCCTTTGCTAGTATAGAGATCTCTATAGTCAGTGTCTGCTTTTCAGTGATGCACCTTGGGCGTGGCTAACTCTAGGCCTTGCCTCTATCCCAAGATATAAATACCTCCATTGATTTGGAGGGAGAATGCAGTGTAATTATTCCAGCTCCCAGTTCTCTAGGTAATGTTGTACAGATGCACAACCTTATCATTGGCAATCTAGATATTGACATACAGAGAAAATTAATTCATAGCAACAACTATGTCACCCTGGCAATAGCAACGAAATCAGCAACAATAGCAACAAAGACAAATGATATTGACATATCATAAGAACTAAAAATGCACCACCCTTAACCATAGGAAAGAGATTTATAATTATAGCATAGACACTAAGACAAAACAAATATTGACATAACTAAATGCAATAAATATACCTCTACTAACAACAGAAAAGATTTCAAGAGTAATAGTGTAGAGTTAACTAAGTATCTAAAGATTGATAAAGTTTAATGGTCATAAGTAGAAAAGATAAAGGCGGTAAGGAACAAGAGAACGAATGTGGAAGATTATGAAAAATTAGTGAAAAATTATAATAAGGATAGAAAAGATAAAAAATCTTATTAAAGCATAAGAGGGAACAGAGAAGCAAGAAAAAGATGAAAAAATAGGAAGAAAAAAATTAAAAGGAAAAGGAGGAAAACCTACTTTATAAAAATATCAAAGAAGAAGAAAAAAACAAATGAGTAAAAAAAATATTCTTTTTTTATTATTTGAATGGTTTCATTCCAGGATGTGAAGTCTTGAAATCTAGCAAGTCACGGTTTTCTCTGCCTAGCTTTATAGCTTGTGGGTTTGTAAGGTGAATCTCATGCTATAGAGGCCCCACTGTTCATACCCCCCAGGCTGTGGGAACCATTCAAACTGAGGTTTGTCCTCGCTCATGTTGGTAGACAGGGAAAGCAGTCACACCACTAATTTGTGCTGGATCTAGGCAACAGGATAGTGATTCCAGCAGAATGCTGGACTTAATGGTAGCCTTTTTAGACCTAGCACCCTCTGAAAGTGCCACACATTGGTCCTGGCTTCTCTCCAAGGAGGGCAGGGCCCCATATCCTTCCTAGCCTGGACTTAAACTTCTCAGGGATCTATGTGTATCCCATACCCTATCCATGATTGTTTACTGTGGCCGTCTCTCACCAAGTCATCATTGGAGGTAACAGTGGAAATTTGAAGTGAAGCTCTTTTGTAGTTGCTCTGAATGAAGCTTAGTATTAAACAGTGAACCTCTTCCCAAAATGGTTCCAGATGAAACAGTCTCAGGCCATACTGTGTAGGTTTTACACTGGATTTCTTTTCCACCTCTAGCCTGCTGTGAGGAAGGAGTCACTTTCAGAGTAAAATCCCACACTGCTTTGAAGTTTACAGTAACTCCAATCTTTTCTTGGTACTAGTGCTGCTGAACCACTCAATTATTTTTCCCTATAACTCATGTGTCTGGGGGCTTACTTTATGTCTACATATACAGATTACTTTCCCAGGGATCCAGGGTAAGATTTCTAGTCTGCTTTGTTGTTTTCTGTTTGTTTTGTTCTGTTTCTCCAGTTTCTCTGTAGTTTTTCATTTTTCTGTAAGTTCTGTCTGAATTCTCATAGATCTACTTCTTTTTTGCTCTTCACTAAGGTCTTATTTTCCAGGTGTCTGGATTCCTGATCCCAGTGAGGCTGTATCTTGCTGATGATTGCTACTTCACCATTTTCTGCCTTCTTCTCCAGTATACAAATTTTTTATTTTAAGATATTGTAAGATTCAAATATAGTAATGTAGTTGCTAGGCTGATATAGGGTATTGACATCTATGACCATTATACCTCGTTGCAGTATCTCTCACATTTGGAGAAACTACTTGGAACCTACATGTTCGTGAGAGTCCCAAGTCTGAAGATTCATCTCCATTTAATGAAGATGTTCCCTTATTTTGGGAGCTTCCCCTTTACAAATAATTTAACCTCTCTTTTTAACCTGATGCTCCCACCAGGCCCATCAGGTGGATTTCCCTATCCTCTCTATTTATGATAGAGGGAAGCTCAGCCTGAGGGAGTGACTTGCCTAAGGTCTTACAGACAGTGGTAAAGCTTATGCTTCAGACCAGTTCTCCAGACTTCAGTCTTTGTGATGTTGCCCCAATGTGAGTCTCTTGCAGAGGCAAGAATGAAAATTTGGTAAATGCATCAATGTTATACTTACGTTCCCACATGGTTCTCTCTCCTGACCAGGCTCTTGAGGAGTAAGAGGAAATAGCTCAAAGTGTATGAAAATAAAGAGACTAGTGAAGAATGGGAAGACAAAACACTGAAAGATGGAGTCAGGTGAATGCTGTATGGGAGAAATCCTGGTAGAATGTGACCTTTCATGATTTTATTTCTCCAGGTGGCATGCAGGCCCTCTACAAGATTGAGGCTTGTTCTATGGACCCTGCTGTGGAGCAGCTCACAGGCAAAGTACGGAAGTATTTCATTGAGGCCCATGAGATTCAATGGAACTATGGCCCAATGGGACACGATGGGAGTACTGGAAAGAGTTTGAGAGAACCAGGAAGGTAAAAATGTAGAGGGCTCCATCTTTGTCTTCCTGTCCAAAAACATGTCTCCCTTTGATCCCAGGTACCACAAAACAAAACAGAGCAAAACATAAGCATAACTTCCTTCTTATCCTTTTGGAGGAATTTCTCCAATTTCTATCTCTTCTATGACACAAGTGCAGACAAAGTAGAGAAGATTAGTGCCCTGCTAAGTTGCTAGCCCTTAAATTATACCAGTGTACTTGGCAACTAATGATGCTAGTTCTTTCACAGAACAGAATCTTGGGAGATGACTAGGAAAAAGCATGGAGGAAGATACTAGGGTACCTATTATGTTTATTCTTTCAGCAGGAAATAATGGCGTGATTATTCAGAAAATGTAAGAAATTTAGTGCTTAAATTTTAGGAAGGTATTAGAATCTTAGTGGACTTTCATTTAGGGGTGAAGCCCTTTATGTGATGGGGGTCTTTCATGTTGACCAGGCACATCTTGAACTCATGGACTTAGAGTGTCCCTTCCTCTAGTCTGAGTAGGTGTGACAACAGTTATGCCTCCTGACAACCAGATAAGGCTATTTTTGATTAAAGAGAGAAAAGTTTGGAGTACTTGAGGATTATTAAGCAGAGAGGTAGACAGAATAGTCCCCATATCTGCAAGAATATTCCAGCCTAGTACAAAGAATAACTCCAATAATTAAAATAATTTAGCAGTAAGATAGATTCCTCCTCTGAGTTCTCTGTATTTACAAAGACTTATATAGAAGCAGTGTCACTGATTAGTGGTGTCACAAAGAATGATATCTTTACTGGAAGGAGTTACCTTGTATGATCTCAAAGGTCTTTCCAAACCATAAAGGCCTATAACTTGATGAAATTAAAGATAAAATTGGGGACCATTTGATATCCAATAAAGTTATATGACATTTACCTCCTTATACACTAGAAGTTCAGATAAATTCTTCCAGACGAGCTCCAGTCGAATTGGAGGCACTTACTGGAAAGTTCAATATGAAGCCTTTCAAGATGACACATTCCAGGAGAAAGTACAGCTGGAGGAAGAAAAGCATCTTGGAATCCTGGGTGAGGAAACTTTTAACTCATGAATCTTTTCTTCATCTTCTGAAGATTTATTACCTGGATTTTTAATCTTTTAACGTCTCTGACTAGACTAAGTCAAAGAAGTGGACTTAGAAACTGGAATCTGGAATCTAGGAGTAGCTCATGCACATATTGTAGACTTGACTCTCCCAAAGAGGATCCCAGGAAATTAGTATAGTAAAGCCTTGGTTTCCAAACATACTGTTTCTGGAAACATGCTCATAATCCAAAGCACTTGTATATTAAAATGAATTTCCCCATAAAAGATCGTGGAAACTCAAATGATTTATTCCACAACCCCAAAACATTCAAATAAAAATGATTATACTACTGTAATATAAAACAGAATAATAATGGAAATATAAAATATAGAGATAAATAAGCAAATTAACCTGCACTAGCCTTTGAAAACCGTGGTGGCTGGTGTGAGGGAGACCAGAGAGAGCAGGGCTATTGCGAAGGATGGCTTTCACTATCACTAATGTAGTTACTGCTATCTGTTGGTTCCGTGCGATCTTTTTCTTTTTTGCAACACTAACTAGGAACCTGTTCAATGACACTTGCTTTTACCTCCTTTTGAGGATTTCATGAAAACATGACATTGCATTGTTGTTAAGAGGATTCATTATCCACACTGCTACATCCTTATCTGAGTCACTTTATACTATAAAATTTTGCAGTGATTTCCATAATTTATACGTCTCCCTAATCTCAAGTGAAGTGAGTTATTCCTCTGCATATTTTTCTTCCTCTGCAGATAAGATCTCATGCACAAACTCTTGCTTTTAGGAGTCAATCACCTATAATCCTACAGAGGGGCTGCTATTGCCTCAGTTGTGATCATGTGATGTTCAATGTCACATACTACTCATATTGCAAGATATTGTTTGTTTATCAAATGAAAATTTATTAGAAATGTTTACTCATCTTGTAGAACACTTATGAAACAAGTTACTCACAGTCCAGGGTTTCAAGGTGTTTTGCAATAAAGGTTATGGGGGTTTGAATATGTTTGAAAAACACTAGGGTAAGCACAGTCAAATAGTGTTCTTTGCTGTAGAAATTCTGAGAGCCTTGGATTTGTGTTTGTTCCCCATGAATCTCCAAGATGGAAATGGAGTTTGTGCTACTTATAATATTTATTTTTCTACTGAACTATTTTTGCTAACGTCCACGAGTTCCATTGTTGTATGGATCATACTTTTATTTCTTTCCTCAGATTCTTTTATTGGTACATTTTAGGTATACGATACATTTACATTTATCATCGGGAACTTGTACCTTTACATGATGTACCTTAGTTCTTCTTTTACCCCATTCCCCTGCCCTCCCTTCACTTCTTCCACTGTTTACAAAAATTTTGTTTCCATATTTTCTTTCTCTCATATTTTTTCCTTTCCCTTCTTTCCTTTCCTCTACCCTTCCCACTTCCCCTAACCCTTTGGACATTTTCTTCCTATTTCATATTATCAATTATTCATTTTAATCCTTATTTACACTTTCAGTTTCTCACACTAGAGAAACCACTCAGTATTTACACATGTGTGTACTATTTATGTCACCTAAGAGTATGCCCTCAACGTGCATCCATGTAGCTATAAATGTCTCTAGTTTCTCATTCCTTATGGCTGAGTATTATACACACACACTCACACACACACACACACACACACACACACACACACACACACACACACCTTCTTTATGCATTCTTCAGTTGATGGGCAAATGGGCTGCTTCCATGCTTCAGCTATTACAAACTGTGCTACTATAAACATGAGTGTGCATATATCACTGTGGTATGATTCTTTTAATTCTTGGGAAAGATACCCAGCAGAGCAATAGCTGGGTCAAATGGGACCTCTAATCATAGTTTTGTGAGGCATCTCCATATTGACTTCCATACTGGTTGCACTAGTCTGCACTCCCACCAACAATGGAGAAGGGTTCCTTTCTCCCCACAACCCTGCCAACATTTGTCATTGGTTGATTTCTTGATAGCAGCCATTTTTTCTGGGGTGAGTTAGAAGCTGAGCACTGTTTTCATTTGCATCTCTCAAATGACCAGTGGTGCGGAACATTTTTTCATACGTTTATTTGCTTCTTTTACTTCTTTGTTTGAGAAATATCTGTTCATTTCAGATGCCCATTTTTGAATTGGGTCTTTATATTTGGGGGGTCTGATTTTTTAAGTTCTTAATATATTCTAGATAATAGTCCTTTGTCTGAGGAACAGCTGCTAAAACATTTTTCCCACATTAAAGGTTGTCTCTTAGCTCTGTTGGTGGTTTCTTTTGTGTGTTTGGTTTTTTTTGTTGTTGTTGTTTTGTTTTTGAGACAGGGTCTCACTGTATTGGTGAGACTGATCTGGAACTCACTATGTAGCCCAGGCTGGTCTCGAACTCACAGCGATCCTCCTGCCTCAGCCTCCCGAGTGCTGGGAATACAGGTGTGTGTTACCACGCCTGACTTAGTTTGTTTGTTTTAAGTGCAGGAGATTAAACATCTTTTTAATAAGATGTTTAATAAGATGAGGTCCCAGTTGATAATTCTTTGTGCTAGTTTGCATGCTACTGAGGTTTTGTTTATAAAGTCTTTTCCTATGCCAATATCTTCAAGAATTCTACCTAACTTATCTCCCAGCAAGTTTAGTGTTTCTGTTTTAATATTTAGATCTTTAAACCACTTGGATTTTAGTTTAGTGCGTGGTGAAAGATAAGGGTCTAGTTTTAATCTTTTGCAGATTGAAAGCCAGTCTTTCCAACACCATTTATTAAAGAGACTATTTTTCCTCCAGTGAGGATGGTTGGCTCCTTTATCTAAGATAAGGTGGCTGAGTATGTCTGGAGTTGTTTCTGCTTTTTCTAATCTATTCCACTGATCCTCTGGTCTTTTTCTTTGCAAGTACCATGCTGTTTTTACCACAGTGGCTTTGTAGTATAGTTTGAAGTTGGGGATAGTGATACCCTGTCATGTGTCTGTCAGATCACACTTTTAGAAGTGCTTCTGTAGGGATATCCCTGAATGACGGTATAAGGCAGGGCAACTGTCCAGATTCTTGGCAATCTGGCCCAGGAGCTGATCAGCATGATGTATAGCTATACTTGCTTTATTGAAGGATGTAGATCCATGCTTTGAATCTGAACTTGGGGAAGGTATCCAAAAGTACTAAAAGACGGAATTGAAAGAGTATAGCCATGTTTAATGTGGTTTATTCACTCAATAGAACCAGAAAATAGATCAGATGGGAGAAAACTTTGGAAATGTAAGTAATATAATGAGCTATGACCTGGTGAAAGGTACGAGGCAGTTGATTCTAGATCTGAAAATGGACAATACATCCAATATTGGCTGTACAGGGAGATATCAGGAGAAGAATTATATTCAAGGAAGGGGGATTGTTTTTGAGTTGAAGGAGCCATCATTGGTTAGGGGAACAGAAGTAGAGGATTTGTGTGGAAATTGAGTAAAAAAACCCAGCTGACTTAATGTTAAAGCCATCATAAATGCTTAGGATATTATCTTGGCACTTTTCTTTAGTTTCAAATATGACCTAAGATAGGTTAGAAATGTTGTGTTATCAGAGCCTCACCATATAATCAGTAAGTGCGTTGTAGATATTGGGGAGTGGCTGTGTGGACCAGAGTGCTGTGGCTGCAGGTGGATCCCAGCCAGTCCTATGCCCAAACCAAGAGACTCAGGCACACTCACCCAAACTGAAGCACCCCCAGAAAAGAGCAGCACAGATGCACAAGCTTCAGCCAGAGGCCCACCATACCATTGGTAAGTGAGCACAGATCTCAGGGAGCAGCTCTGTGGACAACAGCAGCATGGCTGCAGGCAGATTCGAGCCAGAGCCCCAACCTGACCCCAGTGGCTTAGGGCACACAGGCCAGAGACAAGGGCCCACCTGAAAAAGAGTTACATAGGCATAGAATCAACAGCCATACGCTTTCCTGGATACTCTTGATAAGTGTGTGGAGAACCTAGCCAGAAGCCTGAGCAGACAGCAGGAGCTAGGGTGCACAGCCCTCAGCCAAAGGCCCTCCCTGGCAACAGTCACATAGGGGCCCCAGCAAGAGGCACACCTAGATACCATCCAAAGTGTGCAGAGGCCCCAACCAGAAACCAGGCCAGACAGCAGGTCAGTTCAGGGATCCAAAAGGCCACCCTTCTGAACCCAGGAATTAGTGTGCTGGTGAGCAGCAGAGAAAAGGCTGCTAAGTGGCTTGCTGAGTATTGAAAACCAATGGATGGCACAGCAGACTGCATTTGTTGAAATGAGAAGACATGTAAATAAGTCTCAAACTCAGATTTCCAGGTCACTTAAGGCAACCACAAAGGGCAATAAGATGAGACAATCTGATATTCAACCAGCTGAACTCCCTGAACTCACAGCAAAAGAGGACCTAGAAAAAAATGAAATCAGAAATAATTTCTCAGATAACAGCAGAGAATGTTTCTATAGTGCAAGACATAATTAATTAATTTAGAGTGTATGCGGACAAAAAAATAGAGGAGCTGAGGAGCATGATGGAATCCCAATATAGGAAACAAATGGAATCCATAAAACGGATGCAAACAGATTTCCAGGAGATTAAAAACACAACTGAAAGTTTATGCAGCAGAACCAGCCAATGTGAGGACAGAATTTCAGATATAGAAGATAGGATTGCAATTAGTGACCAGGAAAAGAAAAATTTCTTAAAAATAGTGACAATGAGAAATTGATCTAGCAGCTATGAGACAATGCAATGAAGAATAACATAAGTATGATCAAAGTCAATGAAGAAACAGGAGAGCATGCAGACACCATAAAAAAGGAATATTCACAGAAGTAATGGCAGAAAACTTCCCAAGTAGGGAAATCCCCCCCCAAAAAAAAAGTAGTAGCTATCTTCTTTGCAGATCAAGTGGATTTCAAACCAACACTGATTAAGAGAGACAAAGAAGGACACTACATCCTTGTAAAGGGAAAATCCCAAGAGGAAGAGATGATAATCATAAATCTATATGCACCAAACACTATCACACCCAACTATATAAGACAAATATTAACTGACATGAAAAATCATATGAGCACTAATACAATAGTAGTGGAGAAACTCAATATCCCACTGTAACAAATAGATAGATAAATCAGACAAAAAATAAACAACAAAATACTAAAACTCAAACTCTTGAACAAATGAATTTAACAGATGCTTATAGAATGTTCCACCTCACAAAATCAGAATACACATTCTTTTCACCTGCCCATTCTCCAAAATAGATCACATACTCACTCATAGAACATGTTTACATAAGTGCAAAGGAATGGAAGTTATCCCCTGTTTATTATCAGATCATAATGTGATGAAATTGGAGATTAATATCAAAAGAAACTGCAACAATTTCATAAACAAATGGAAATTGAACAACAAACATTCTGAATAACCAATGGATCACAGAGGAAATTAAAGATGAAATCAAACAGTTCCTACAATTAAATGAAGATGACAATACGACATATCAGTTTTTATGGGATACAATGAAAGCAGTCTTATGAGGGAAACTCATAACAGTGAATACTCCTATTAGGAAAACAGTGAGCTCAATTACACAACCTGCTGCTGAACCTCAAGCTTCCAGAAAAAGAAGAGCAGGACAAACCCAAAGCTCATACAAGGGAAGAAATTAAAAAGTTCAGCACAGAAATCAATGCAATGGTTACTAAGAGAACAATACAAAAAAAATGTATGAAGCCCAGAGTTGGCTCTTTGAAAGAATAAAGAAAATTGACGAAACCTTAGTGTGAACCTTATAAGAAAAGGAAAGAAAAGGCCCAAATCCATGAACCTATATGGCAATAGGATGGAAAATACAGAAGATATGGAAAGATTCCTAGATACATATGGATTACCAAAGTTGAGCAAAGTTAACCTAAATCTTCTAAACCAACCAATATCAATCAATAAAATTGAAGATATAATTAACAACTTACCAACTAAGAAAGGCCCAGGGCCTGATGGCTTCCCTGCTGTATTCTACAAGACATTTAAAAAGGAACTACTTCCACTACCATATAAACACTTCATTGAAATTTAAAGGGAAGCAATACTCCTGAATTCATTCCTAAAAGCAAGCATCACCTTGGTCCTCAAAGCAGAGAAAGACTCAACCAAAAAAGAGAACTATGGGCCAATCTCACTAATGAACGTAGATGCAAAAATCCTTAATAAGATACTGGCAAATAGAATGCAGATGATCATCAAGAAGATCATACACCCTGACCACATGGGATTCATCCCAGGAATGCAGGGATGTTCAACAAATGCAAACCGATAACTGTAATACACTATTATTAATAGAGCTAATAAGATAAACCATATGATCATCTCAATAGATACACAAAAAGCATTTCATAAAATCCAACAAGTATTTATGATAAAACCCCTACAAAAAACGTGACAGTCCCTACTTCAATCTGATACAAGCCATCTATGAAAAACCAACAGCCAATATCATATTAAATGGTCAAAAATTGAAATCATTCACACTAAAATTAGGAACAAGACAAGATGTTCAGTATCACCACTCCTGTTCAGTATAGATTTGTAAACATTAGCCATAGCAATTAGACAAGAGAAAGAAACAAAAGGAATAAAGATAGGAAAAGAAGAGGTCAAATTGTCATTATTTACAGATGACAAGATACTCTATGTAGAAGACACAAAGAACTCTACCAAAAGTCTTCTAGACTTACTAACCAAATTCAGTAAAGAAGCTGGATACGAAGTCAACACACAAAAATCAATAGCTTTTCTCTACATGAAATACAGGCTCACTGAGAGACAAATGGAATAATCAATTCCTTTCACAATAGCATCCAAAAAATTGAAATACCTAGGAAACTCTACCCTGAAAACTATAGCACTCTGAAAATAGAGATTGAAGAGGATATTAGAAAATGGAAAGACATCCTTTGTTCCTGGGTAGGAAGAATCAACAAAGTGAAAATGGTCATACTTCCACAAATGCTATATAGATTCAATGCAATCCCAATTGAAATCCCATCAGTATGCTTCACAGACCTTGAGAAAACAATCCAAAAATTCATTTGGAACAATAAGAGATCTAGAAGAGCAAAAGCAATTCTAGTCAATAAGACGAGGAAGGGAGTATCACAATCCCTAACTTGAAATTATACTACAAAGCTACTGTGATAAAAACAGCATGGAAATGGCAAAGAAACAGAGCTGAGGACAAGTGGAACAGATCAGAAGATGCAGAAACTCCAGATACACTCAACAACTTCATTCATTGACAAAGGAGCCAAAAAGAAAGATAGCCTCTTTAATAAATGGTGCTGGAAAAACTGTGTTTCAACTTGCCAAAATTAAAACTAGACCTATATTTTTCACCATCACTAAATTAAAATTGAAATGGATTACACTTCTAAATTTTAAAACAGAAACTAAACCGTTTGGAAGAGAGGTTAGGTAGAACTCTTGAATATATTGGCATAGGAAAAGATTTCATGAACAAAACCTCACTTACCTGTGAACTACCACAAACAATCAACAAGTACAACGTTTTTTTATTAAAAAGCTTCTGCACAGCAAGAGATACAACCCGCAATGTGGGAAAAACATTTCATCATTTCTTTCTCAGACAAAGGTATACTATCTCAAATATATAAAGAATTTAAAAACAATCAGGCTTCCCAAATTTAAAGACCCAATCCAAAAATGAGCATCCAAAATGAACAGACATTTCTCAAAGAAGTAGAAATAGCACATAAACATCTGAAAAAATGTTCAACATCACTGGTCATTTGAATGATACAAATGAAAACAACACTCCGATTCCACGTCACCCCAGAAAAAATGGCTGCTATCATGAAATCAATCAACAACAAATGCTGGTGGGGCTGTGGAGAAAGAGGAACCCTGCTTCACTGCTGGTGGGAATGTAGACTGGTGCATCCACTGTGGAAATCAGTAGGGAGATTCCTCAAAGAACTAGGATTAGAAGTCCAATTTGACCAAGCTATTCCCCTGCTGGGCATCTTCCCCAAAGAATTAAAAGAATCATACCAGTGTGATATATGTGTATACATGTTCATAGCAGCACAATTTGTAATAGCTAAAACTTGGAAGCAGCCCAATTGCCCATCAATGGGAGACTACATAAAGAAAATGTGTGTATTTTAAAATAAAATGGAGTACTACTCAGCCATAAAGAATGAGAAACTAGAGAGACATTTGTAGCTAAATGGATGTACATTGAGGCCATACTGTTAAGTGAAATAAATAAGACACACGTGTAAATACCTAATGGTTTCTCTAGTGTGAGAAACTGAAAATGTAAATAAGAACTAAAAGGTGTAATAGATAATGTGAAATAGGAAGAAAATGTGCAAAGGGGTAGAGGAATTGGAAGGGGTAGTGGAAAAGAAAGAAGGGAATTAATATGAGAAAATGAAAAAAATGGAAATGAAGTCTTTGTAGGTAGGACGGGCGGAGGGGATGAAGGTAGGGCAGGAGAATGGGGAAAAAATAACATAAAAAATTTTTATGTTAAAGGTACAAATTTCCAATGATGAATGTCATTATATTGTATTGCTTAAATGTACCAATAAAATGAAATATAAAAATGTTAGGTAGTGAAGCATGAAAAAATCCAGAAGTTATGTCAGGCAGGGTCTGAATACAGGATATAATAAATTTCTTTGCTCAGAATTGATTTTAAATTAAGATGAGCTCAGATTTTAGATGGGATCTATTAAAACTTGTAAGTTTGAGGAAATAGGATTGGGCCAGGCAGTGAAGTGAAAACAGTCCTGGCCACAGATTTTGGCTCTGCAGTTAATCTGCCATTTGAATTTGTGTAGGTCTGTGCTGTCTCTCCACGGTGAAGTTTCCTCATCTGTAAAAGGGAGATAATAATCCCTGCTCTGTATGCCTTAGAATGATATTTATGGATCAAAATGAGATCACAAATTTTATAGTGATGTTTAAATTGTAAATTGTAATATACTTACAACGGGTTATTCTCTTTTCTATTAACATTTACCTTTTTTTCCCCTTTTCTCTTTCTGTTTCCTTCTTTCCTATTCATCCTTGTTTTTGTTCTAATTCTCTCTCCTCATTTTTCAGGGCCAGTGATCCGGGCTGAGGTGGGTGACACCATCCAGATTGTCTTCTACAACCGTGCCTCGCAGCCATTTAGCATGCAGCCCCATGGGGTCTTTTATGAAAAAGACTACGAGGGCACTGTTTACAACGATGGTGAGCCTGCAGGGTTTCCAGGAAATGCAAGTGGTAGCTGCAGGTGGTAAAGGACAAATAAATGGAGAGTGGGGAAGAGGAAGGCAGAATTGATTGTCCTGTGTGAATGTTGTTGGCTGAATGAATTATATAAGAATGAAACAGCTAGGATCGCTAAGGGAGAACTTTTAAAATATCTTCAAATATTTTGCTATTATAAAGATATATTGTGGAATTTTGAAAGACAAAAGATTATAAAATAAAAATTTATTCATAAGTAAATTGTCATGTGAAGTTTGACATAGATTTTAATATTTTTTCTGTGAATGTAAAGTGCATATATTTACAGATATGAGATTATTTTGTGCATACAGTTTTTCATCCTACTCTTCTTGTCATTATATTGTGTTTCCCATGTTATTATGATAGTATAAACATTTTAAAGACTATATGATACTCTATCATATGAATTTGATATAATTTGTTTATCTTACTTTCTATTGTTTGGAGATAAAAGTTTTTTTCTTCAGTATTTTGAATATTGCCACTCTAGGTACAAAGTACCATTACATACATCTTAGCTTGCTTTGGGGTTATTATTTCAAAAGACAGTCCTAGAAATGGCATTACTGGGTAACTTACTTCTTGTTTTCTCAGAGAATATTAACATAAAGTAGTTCTGAGTCAAAATTATAAAAACATTCTGGGGCTGAAGGTATGGCTCATTAAAGCATGTGCTTAGAATGTGGGAGGCTCTGGGTTCAATCCCTAGTTTTCTCTGTCTCTCTTGTGGTGGCACATGCCTAAAATCCCAGCACTTGGGAGGCTGAGGCAGGAGGATCTCTGTGAGTTCCAGACCAGCCTGGGCTACATAGTGAGTTCCAGGTCAGTGTCAAATGCATATATATATATATATGAAATTGCTTATAACTGAATTGATGTTTTTTGCATATTCACACACATGTGTATATAACATTTACACACCCACACATACATACAAATATTAAAAGTAAAAAATATTCAAGAACCAGAATTGTTCAAAGATGAAATGAGCTATGATGACATACAGTGAGTCTCCTATCAGTGGAGAGTTTTTAGCAGTAAAAGGGATATAAAAGCAGATTAATATATGTTTTTGCTTAAGGGGTATTCCAGAGAAGTCTTATAATCCCTTTTAATCCTGAGATCGTAGGATTTTTGGAAAACTGAAACCTAAGGAAGTTAAATCACCCCAGTTCTTTTAGCAAATAGTGGTAGAAGTAGAAAGTAAAGTCCCTTGATTCCTAGGCCAGAGTTTTTTGTAGTGTCCAATATTCCATATTGTTGCTGCTGCTCCCAAATATGTTTATAGTTTGTTATCTTTATCCTGCTGTTTGGAGATGATGACCCTCATTCTACCTAATATGAACATATAACCTCATGTTTTCCCTACAGGCTCGTCCCACCTTGGCTTGGTGGCTAAGCCCTTTGAGAAAGTAACATACCACTGGACAGTCCCTCCCCATGCTGGTCCTACCTCTCAGGATCCTGTCTGTCTCACCTGGATGTACTACTCTGCAGTGGACCCTATAAAAGATACAAATTCTGGGTTGGTGGGCCCCCTACTGGTGTGCAAAACTGGTGCATTGGGTGCAGATGGCAAGCAGGTAATGCCAGGGTGTCTGGCTGGAAAGCCTGGTAGGAGGATGAAGCTGGTTTGCTTGGTAGAAATTAAGCATAGATCGAGGTTCTAGAGTTAAGGGAACAGAAACAAAGTAATCAAACCATTACATGAGAAATTAACAGGTGGTTACTACATTGAATGTTATTTTCTTACAAACACACTTCTTTAGCCTCAGTTTCTTCCTGTTTCATATCCTCTTATCATCATCTCCCTATTTTTATCCTTTATCTTCTGCCTTTCCTATCTCTCTCCTCTTCCTGTCCATCTTCTCTCCTCTATCCCCCGCTTTCCCACCTCAATGATCCCTCAAAACTGATCCTCATTCCTAAATATACTTTTATATTTGCTTGTCTTCTTTTGTAGCTAGCCAACCATTACTAGCTATGTGCCCTTGAGCAAATTAATTAAGCTCTCTTTGATTCATTTTCTTCATCTGTAAAACAAAGTTTCAACAATGGAAGGGTTTCTTTGAGGATTACTGAAACAATCTATTTAAAATGCTTAGTACAATGTTTGCTACATAGTAAGAAACGAGTAAATGATAACTGTAATATTAATAATTATTATTACTTTTCTCTTTTTTTTACAGCTATCCCCTAATCTCCTAGCCATCTTCCCCTAATCTCATTCCCCAGTGACTCTAGACTCGCTCTTATCAGTCTCTGTATCTCCTCTCCCTAATCCTTCTCCTGTGCTTCTTTCCTGTCCCTTGTCATACATTCCTTTTCTGGAGTCTTATCCCTTTACTCTGACTTCCTTCTTCCACCTGTAATTTGAAATTATGTGAGGCAAAATCACCTAGCAACAACTGCAGTTCTTGGCAGGAGATGTGGACTTGGCTCTGAGTCTAGAAAAGAAGGGAAAAAAATCACGTTTTGTTTTTTTTTTTAAATCTTCAGCTACACAATACACAATTGCTGAAACTGTTGTTATTCCTCTCTCTGCTTCTTCCAACTGGGCTTGCAGAAAGGGGTAGATAAAGAATTCTTTCTCCTCTTCACTGTGTTTGATGAGAACAAGAGCTGGTACATCAATGCTAATAAAGCAGCTGCTATGTTGGATTCCCGACTACTCTCAGAGGATGTCAAGGGCTTCCAGGACTCCAATCAAATGCATGGTACGGGAAGTATTTTGTGTCCTGGGCTATAAATGAGAGGTCCAAGTAAAATTTAATTTAGCCATTATCATAAACAATCCCTATGAACACTTGTTAATCTCTGTCTCTGTAAGAGACAAGGTATATTGAAGGATTTGATCAAAAGGGACAGATTTTATGGTTGACATCTTTTTGTTCTGTGCCCTGTGTTTCACAGAATGGGGAGGGGGAACCAGAACAAAGTATTGAGATGAGGACTGTACACAAGGAATCCTCTAGAGAATGTGGAGAATAAGCTGGAGTGATGTTTTTCTGGTTGCGTGTGTGTGTGTGTGTGTGTGTGTGTGTGTGTGTGTGTGTTGCTGGAGATTGAACCTAGGACCTTGAACATACTGGGCAAGTGCTTTACTATTGAACTACACATTCTAGTCCCCTTTTAGTCTTCTATCCCTCTCTTTTATCTCCCACTACACTTGATCCCATACTCCAGAAATGTGGGGCTATTTTCACCACTATGTTCATACCTTGTACTTCTCTGATTTCTAGCTTTTCAGTGCTGTGTTATGCGCCAGAAATTCCCCTTCTTATATCTTTGCCTTCAGTCTGTGGAAATGCCCTCCATTCTTTAAGGCCCTATTCAAACACTACCTCATCTACATAATCATTTCTTACCACTCAAATCCACAGTGATGAGTCCCTTTTCTGAATTACCATCACATTTGATTAGATCATTTAGTAGCAAGTTTTATATAATCCTCAATGTTGAGGTATTGGTTATATAGTTTTTGACTTCTGCTAGAATATAGTTTTCAAAAGAGAGCATTGAATGTTGCTTATCTCTGTATTCTCTACATTATCTAATGCATAATACATGCTATTTGGATTAGAAAACTACCAAATGGGTAGTGGATGGGTGAAGTAATGACTGGGTAGATGTGGTTCCAGTTTCCAAAGTGCTCCCAGTAGATTCTAATGAGATATGAATAATAGAACCCATGAAATAATCATAGAACAATTCAAGACAAATTATAATTAGAGCTAAATTGTGTAGAATAGTTTTTAAGTTCAAAGGAGGAGAACATTAGTGAGGAACAATGAAATTAAAGGATTTCTGGAAGGATGGAGTACTGTACTGAAGCTGGGGCTTTAAAGACTGCATAAGTTTGCAATCAGGACATTACAAGCAAGAAAAGCAGAATCAAGGTGTATTCAAAGTTCGTATCACAGGGGATAATCAAGTGGGATGACTCATTAAGGCTGTTTCTAGTGGAGGTGTGGACATTGAAAAGGGTTCAACTTCAAACAGGTCTCCCTGTATTTTGTATAGTGAGTCAGGGTATAGTGTAAGAGGTAGGAGGAGAGCAAAAATTAGTGTTATCTTCTTT